TTGCCACTTTGACAACCATAGACAATCAGTAAAATATTTTTAACAACAAGAAAAACTTCATATTTATTTATATTTATATAAACCAAAATCCTTTCCTATACATAATTTATGATTTTACAAATTGCAACACTACATATAATCCAGAATATTTCAGCAATATTTAGAATGTATATATATATATTAAATTTCCTTATTCCGCTATAGATACTTTTTATACACTTTATCTATTTATAATACCCATTTACCTATTTATAATACCTATTTATATAGAAACTATTACACATCATAAATGAGCTAACTACTTAATCTGATATTTGAAGGCCGTCCAAAACATATGACACATTATAGACTGTCGACTCTCCTTAATCTATAGTAGATTAGTAGATTATTTTATCTACTGTAGAGGAACTATATAATCACATGTAAGCCATTAAACGTCACATATAAACAAACTACTTAATCCAACTTATCGGCGTTGTAATTACATTGTGATCAAGTATTGATTTATGTATATTTTCCGGTCAATTTAATAAAACTATCTGCAAATTAGTACAATAAAAAACTTCAAGTTTATTGTACAAAAAGAAAAAAAAATAAACCTTAAAATACGTGTTGTGATTAAAATAATTAGATAATGTTTAAGTTTTAATACCGCTATTATTAACTAACTATTAGGTGTTATAATACAAAAAAAAACTACGCAGTCTATTGTTAGTGTTTTAATTTTTTTAATTTTTTTATTTATATATTTTTATTTTTTTTTTTTTTGTTAATGACAATAGTTTCTGGGCCAATTGTCAAAATCATAAGTTTGGGGTCATAACACTTAAGCACCGCGGCTAACGGCTAGCGGCTACTTTCACTGATAAGATAAAAACTGAATTGAACGTTTAAAATGCTTCAAGAGCTGATATCAATTGCATGAGTTTGCTAACAGAAACTCAGAAATCTTAATGAATTAATCAACTTTATTGTTATTATTCACAAGAAAAATTATTATCTAAAATTGTTTTGCTAAAACCTCAACAAATTTAAAATAGAATTATTAATGCAGTTTTTTTTTTTTTTGTTTGCTTTGCAAACTTTTGGCGGCAATTATAACAAAACTAAATATGTAGTACGTATGTTTGTGTATCTGCGAGATACTCGTATACGTAGAGTATCTAAGTATATTGTACATATGAATATTCACATTAATAGTAAAATATTTATGCGGTTATTGTTATCTGCTATTTTACTGCCAATTTATTGCTTTTGTTTTTGTTTTTGTTTTTGTTTTTTTTTTAAATAAAAACATTAAATGCAAAGCAAAGTAAACATATGTTTTGTAACCCAGACTTATTGGGATTTTATTACGAGTATTCGCATTTGGAATATTTCGTACGTACTCGACACTTGAGCATTAGATATGCGATGATTTGTTATGTTAATAGTTTATTGAACTCTGGTGAGTGATTTAATTAAATAAATTTCATTATTATATGAAATAATAGTAATATTCTTAGGAATTAATAAAATAATAAGAAGTAAACAATTCTTAATAAAAAATATAATTTTGATTTAATGCTAAATAAACTTGATCACTCTCTTCAATATAAAAAGTCTTTGAACTCATGATGAGGGCAAAAGAGTGATTTTAGAGTCATTAGAATCACAGTTCTTGCGATTTGTAAATCACTCTGATATTTAAATTATGATAGTAATCACAGTTTATTTAGCAAATTGTAATATAAGTATTTATTCTGATTATACATATATCTAATTCAATGTATCTCTAAGAATTTAATTATGTTCTTGTTTCTAATAACAAAAACAGAAGAAATTAATGCATTGTGGCACTAGAAATATATAAATAATTTTTATTAATTTTTTTTGTTATAATTTAGTTTAATATGTTATATGACAAGAAATCTATTTCGATCAAATAAATTTACTTTCTTGACACTTGCAGTCCATAAAGTATATATATGGACAAATAAAATAACAGACTTTGCCAAAGACCATCAATAAAACAGCTGCATGGGCAGTCCAAGCGTACACTTGATACTTTTATCAAGTTTCTTTGGGATTTGCAAATTTCATCTAATTGTGATAAAAATTTTTTTAATATTAAATTATATTTATGACAATTAAACTGAACCTAACGCATAAAATTGAATAATTACACTAAATCAGTGTTTAACGCTAATTGTGATTTGAATCACTGTTTAAGCCGAAATCATGGGTTTTATATCTATCACACTATATTATGTATAACAAGAATTGCTATGATTTGCTGACGTATTAAAAGATATGCTTCCGTCATTAAATTTTAACTTAAACTCTAAAAAAAATTCTAAGAACCTGTCACTAAACGATTACTAAAATCTAAATTTAATTCTTTAAAGCTTCCAAAAAAGTACCAAAAAACCATATAATTACATATAATCTAAACTAAATATAATTTATATCCCACAAGTGTACAGAGCTCTCAAGTATCGATAAGATCATTTAATGTTTTTTTATAATGCTTTTTAGTTAAATTTTAAATGCAAAAAAATGACTATTTTTAGATTGTTCCATTAAAAGCACTTCAAAGATATATCAAGGCACAGTTAAATAGTCAAAAATTTTTCAAAATTATTTATATGTATATACTATATTATATATATATATAAGAAAATAAATGTGAAAGTCTTAACACACTTAACAAATTAGCAAACATTTTGATATATATTTTTTTTAATAAAAAACACTTCAAAATTGCAAGTGTAAGCCTGAATGGTTGTTAGATTAATTCGAAATTGTTGCATTAATAAAAAAATATTACTCAATTAGTGAGTACTTATAAATTACTATAATAAAATATAATCTGTATTCAAACAATGATGCGAAAACAGTTAACATTTAACCTTTACATATCCGGCGATAGTCTGCTCTTGCCTAAATCGCTTGCAGTTTACACTGAGTTTGTAAAATTCTAGCCAAGTAACGTCTGAGTCTGAGTAAGCTAGCAATTCTGCTTAATGAACTGTAAACTATTAATAAATAAATTAGATGAGAAAATATTTAATATTTACATTTTATCTAATTTATTAGGAAAAAGTTAGTCATAACAAATACAAACAGCTCGAAAAAATATGGTAGGTTAGTGCTAATAAAAATGATTTTTATTTAGTTTTTGTGTTTGAATAAAGTTTCATTTAAACTATTTCGTATATAGTGATAATGTGAGCTTAGAAATTGCTATTTACATAAACAATTATATTATTTATGTTTATATATTATTTTCAGTTTCAGTACAAAAAAAAAACAAAATTAAACAATATTTGCAATCTATTTAAGTGTAATAGAAAATAATAATAGACAAAATTGCAAATTATCAAGTCAGGAAATTGCATGAATTAAGTTCGATTTTAAGGTTTTTGGAATTTAGTAAATATTATTGTTAATTTTTTTTATGAGAATAAAAAATAAACCTATAAAAAATAAAACTATTTGATACATATGATTGATCTCTTTGCATAAATAAACATCCTCAGATTTTATATATTCCAAACAATTTAAAAAAAAAATCTTCTAGTTAATATTTAACAAAAAAAAATCTTTGAATTATTTATATTTAAGTATAATTTTAATTTTTATATATTTTCACTGTTATTAAAAATTAGCTGTGATTAATTTTTAATAACTAATTAACTAAAGTGCTAATATTTCTACACACAAAATATTTCTTGCTAACTGTAGATAAATTTAAATCTTATGGCTAATAAAATGAATATTATTTTCTTGAAATTATAATTTATGATTTAAAATAGAGTAATTATTCATTATTTTAATTTTGATATTTTGTTCTAAAAATATATGAGTCAATGAATTTTAGTTCCGATATATAAATATGTATAAATTATATATGTGTAAATATGGAAAATCTAGACATTAAGGAAGACTAATATTAACTAAAACATATACTGAAAAGATTTAAAATTTTGAATGTAAAAATAGTTTAGTCATCAGTATAAACCATACATAATGATATAACTATATCATAACTATAATAAGAAAAACTTCTAAATAAATATCAATTCTAAATAATACTAGAAATTCTATTTAGCTTATTTAAACAATACTATTCTAAAAATAATCATATAAATTAAAACCAAATATTCATTAAATATTTTCAAGAAAATTTCAAGTATATTTAATGACAAATAAGTCGAATTTTGGGAATATTATTTATGAATATTATAAAATCTAAATAATATTTAATGGAATGTATTTATCAAATTGAAATATTTATTTTTTTAAAAGTTATTTTTGGCTTATTCGCAGTTAATCGATTGAAATACATTCCACTTTTATTTTATTGAAAAAAATCTATAATTAATTAATTTAGTATAATCAAATGATATCCCTTAGATAGCAAAATAATCAGTTCCGATATTATTCACAAGAGTTAAGCAAGAATACTTGACCCACCATACACATATGACGCATATAATATATCTTTAATTTATTATGTCTATTTCTAAGTCATAGTAAAGCAGAGTGCAAAAAAAATTCAAAGCAGACATTTTACTTATGACTATTAACTAAGAAAAAAAAAGAAAGAAAATTCCCTTAAAAAATTGAGAATTGAGAAAAAAAATTAAATCAAATATCTAATATAATATATCAACTATTTTTTTTAATAATGACAGTTGCAATACTTATTACTTTGTAGATACAAATAAATGATTGTTGACAATTTCTAGTTAGTGATCTTATGCCCACAAATTTTTATATATAAACCACTCAAGAGCCGCACGACTAAAACCGTTACCAGATAAGATACGGTTAACTTCAAGAACTTTTTTTTTAATATTTTTACTTTTATATTATTTTATTTCAATTAATGTAGTAGCGAATTATCAGTACAAAATAACTAAGTAACTGATTCACAACAAAATTGAAAACAGACAATACATAATATAATAAAAAATAAAATTAAAAATATTACGAAGAAATTTTCTAAAACTTACTCTCGACATAAGACGATCAGCTCCAGTGCCTTCTTCATCCTTGAAAACAATATCGGTATTATAATTCATAACCAAGTCCTTGAATTTGGGTGAATGTCGTGTTATTACACCCTCACTGAGCCCAGAAGCACCATGTGTTTTCTCTGATTTCATGGGCATATGCTCGTTCACTACTAATGGCGTTAGCTTACGACTTCTACGTGGTCCACCAATACCTCGGCCCGGACCACAGCCATAACTAGTAGCGAAGAGCGTTAGGAATAGCACAAGGGCATATAAACGACGTAGGCTTAAATTTTGCTGTCTGCTGGTATTTCTGTCGGTACCGTTCTTATTGGCACGCAATTGGCAGGTAAACGTTGTATCGCAGCTGGCACTATTGTGCACCTCGCAGACTGCAAAGGGACTTTCGTATTCCATACTGTCTTTACTGGCTTTTGTAACGTATTTCTGTGCTGAGTTCTGCTGTTGGTTTTGACACTTTCTGCAGCAATTGGTATTGTGGCCCAGTGCTTGCAAACGTTCTGATATATCCATCGTATACATTTTTCAAAGCTTAATATTTTTAAATTTATTTATATAGAAATTTTTTGCAATTTTTCTTTTCCCAGCACTTTTTAAACGTTTTCTTAATTAGTTTGCAAGTTAAAATAATATAATAAAATATTAATAATTTTTTTTATTATAGTATTCGTTTTATGTATTATTTTTTAATTTGTGAAAAAATTTTAATCCTTCTGTTTTCTAAAGCACAACACTTGGTTTAATTTATTTTTTATTTAAATATTTCTTTTATGTACACACGAATTAATTATAAATCCCGCTTTCACTGTTCGTTATTTCGTATCTTTTCTTTAAATTTTTTTTTTAATTATTTTATTTTTGCACTTTTTAATTGAATTTAATTTATTACTTTCACACTTGTATTTGGTGTCGTTCTAAACGTTCACAGCGACAACCGTTGCGTTCGCAAACTGATTGACAAATGACATTACGTTTCGAGGGTGCTTTCAAGAACCCTGAGTGCTGCCGCCGTCGCTGTTGCTATTGCTGTTGCTACCGCTACCGTGATCGTTATCCTATACGATACATTCTGTAAATACGAACCGTAGCCGATGGTTAGCTACGAAATGAACATGGCAAAATGAACACCGCAATGTATCTGTCAGATACACATACTACGTGTGTACACTTGCTTATCTGCCAGCTTATGTTATTCACTTTTACATTGCCATTATGTTGTATCTCATTGGACTCTACAGTCGATACGCACACAGCTGAGCAAGAAATGAACACTGTTTGCAAGTGTGTGTATGTGTTTTCATCTTGAGTATCTTTTTACAATATTGTGCACAAAAGAGATAACAAGAGTGTTGCGCACTCTCAGTTGACTTTACAGATATTCACACAAATGTATCTGCACTCATACCACACCATATGATCACATACATAATTATGTAGGTATATAAAAAAATTGGATTCATTTATTGCGCTTATGTGTTTGGGCACTTTTGCCAATAGGATGGAATTTTTTAATGCTATTATTATTATTTGTATCTGATGTGTTGCTTGCTATTGTATCTGCAGGCGCAGACAATTTCTTAACACTTGCACTCATCTTTGAGTTGTGGCTTGTTACCTTTTTATAAATTGCAAAAGTATTCCTGCAACATGATTTTTTTGTTCAAGATTGTTTTTTTTTTGCTTTAGAATGAAAAGTTTTTTTAAAAATAAAATAAATTTTAAAATGTTCCGGTTTTTTGTACAACTTACAGATACTATTGTATGCTGCCTATATGCAGAGTTTTTTGTTACAAGTCGCTTTTGTTTTGGTTTGTTAAATCTTTTTACCAATATTACATTGGGCCCTAAGCAACTTCCGTTCATCTTGCTGCCTTAAAATACCATAATTCAATTTTTATGAACCAAATTTTTTGTTTTACAACATCAGAAACTCAACTTCACCGAAAACGAGTTTCAGTTTTTTGACTTTAAATTATTTATTATTTATACTTTTTGTTGTTGCTATTTGTACTTTTGAACAAACGTTTTGCTTTAAACATTTTTGTATCTTTTAGTTATACATAAGTTACTGTGCTTTTAACCGCTCATATTTTAAGTTATCACGTTAAGTTATGCCTATTCAATATGCGATATTCACGATTTCGCACAAGATCGATAAATTTGATCAGCGTTAAGCAGCTGTGAATTTCAATGAATATTCAATCAGATACAGATACAAAACTCTAACTTTTAGTAGCTTTTAATTTATTTTGTCGCAATAAATGATTTGATGATTTTTTAATAAACTGCTAAGATTTTTAATGATTTTATTTTTCATTTGTGACGCATCTTAGCTGTTATTTACAACTACCATTAATAATAAAATTTATTATAGATAAATAAACAGATAATACTCGTATTAACTGACTACACGCAAAAACCCACCGATTTCAGTTTAATTTTATCTTCATCTATTGACGATCTGCTAAATCATAAAAAACCACTTGAAGTTTACAAGTATTAATATTTATCTAAAACCCATTAAGTGAAGTTAATGTTGCAATTAACTATAGTTAATGATTACTTACTATATAAGACATTATTTATATATTTTATTGTCTGTAAATGAGTTAAAACCTGTATTATACTAGGATAACAGCTGAGTGTTACCTATGCAGTTGTTGACGTGTTTTCACATAAAAAATCGTCAAAGACCCTATTGTACATCTCACCGATTTACTGAGAATAGGTGAGGAATTTTCCAGACGTTCGAGATAAAAGTTAATATTCTTAAAAAAAAATAGTTATAGTTAGCATGTACTTCACTAGCAGTGGAACCACTATATGTAAAAATAATCGATTAGAAAAATGAAATTCTTATTACTTTTTTATCACTCTATGTACATTTATTTGAAAGGACAGTGAAAGTGCCAGCTAATAACACACTCATGCCTTCTGGTATATTATTATTAAACCGTATTCCATCAGAAACATAGACTATTTACATAAAAATTCTGTTTCATGCTAAATATCTTAATTCATTCATATCCGTGAGCATGCAGACGTTATCAATAAAAGATCAGTCCGGTTTATTATTCTATTTGAGCTGTTTATAAGTTGAATATTCGGCTGCAGTAGGTGATTGACCTAAAGTAGCCTAGGTTAGTGACAGGGCTGCTGTCTTTAGCATT